TAGGTCCCAAAGATTACTTTGACAATGTGGATTAATAGTCAATAATTATCAAGGTTTTGAATAAAGGGAACATGCAATAATTAGAAATTTGAATAAATTGTAAAATTGCAACATTATATTTATATTTATATTTATATTTATTCTGCATTAAATGTATTGTGATTGTAAAAATATTTTTAAACAATGATGGAATTTCAAAGAAATTATGAGTAACAAACTTTTTAAAAATTATTGTGAGGAAATCTTTTTAAAATTCTACTAAAATCATTGATTTATTAAAAATAAAACTTGGTAGGTTACATATAAAACTACTTACCTTACCTTCTTTTTCTTTATTTCTTTATTTCTTTTTTTAGATATATACCTAAAAATATTAAATTTTCAAATAATTAAAAACTTTAGGAGAATATAAATATTTCATCAATCAATTATTATATTTTCCTTGAGAAAATTTTAAGCCTAAATCTTTTATATATACGTACACACACTTCTCATTAAACAAAAAAGAAACAAATAATTTATATTATATATAAAAAAATTGTGATCCCGAACTTAGCCTGCAAAATTGATACTTGGCCGGTTAGCCAATTATCACCAGCCGTTTACCCTTTTTTTTTTTTTTTTTGTGTCAGTGTCAACTAATTTGATTCTATCAAGCAATCATAAAAGAAAAAAAATTATAATTTTGTCATGTTGTCCGCGATTCAATTTAAGTTACTGTTAAAGGAATCAATATGCCGACTTGATAAAATATTTCAACATCCACTTGGGAATCTATAATTTTATATATTATTTCAAAAATTGCAGTGATGATCAATTGCAGAAGCTATCGATAGGTTCATCAAAATTTGGAGATGGAAGTCCAAATCATTTTCAGAGAAACCATTAAACCTTCTTCGCCAACACCCCACGACTTAAAAACTCATAAACTTTCTCTTCTCGATCAGTTGGTCCCTCCTGTTGACATCCCTGTTCTTCTTTTTTACTCGGCTACCTCTGAGAATCCAAGACAAAGATCTATTCAACTCAAAGACTCTCTCTCAAAAACATTGGTCCACTTTTATACCTTTGCAGGACGAGTTAATGAACATAGCTTTACTATTGACTGTAATGACGATCGAGCCACCTATGTTGAAGACCGGGTAGCCATTGACATGTCCGTTGTCCTTGAAGAACAGGAAGTTTGTCAGCTACGACAATTACTACCGTTTGATGACCATCCTGAACCAAGTACTCAGGCTGTGCTGATAGCTATTCAGGTTAACTACTTTGCTTGTGGTGGCATGGCAATCTGCGTTTGTATTGATCATGCGGTGGCTGATGCATCGGCGGTAGCAACCTTTCTTAAAAGCTGGGCAGCAGTTGTTAATGGCGCCAATCTTAATGATGCCGTGATTTTCAATTGCACTTCTCTCTTCCCTCACCAGGATTTATCAAGCTTTTGGAAGGTTTTTGAAGAGAGAAAAAATCTGATAGTCCCCGAAAACATTGTAACAAAGAGGTTTGTGTTTGATGGATCTAAGATAGCTGCTCTGAGAGATGAAATTGGCAATGCACCATCCTTATATCGTCCAACGCGTGTTGAGGCAGTGTCCTCGCTCATTAGGATGCAATGGTAGCTGAAAATGACAACTATTCTCATCTCTGTGGCAACTTCCGAGAATCTGACGAGAATGAATCTACCATTCCTGCAAGAATGTGCAGAATTACTGATGGAGGAAACGAAGAATCTTAGTAATCTAGCTGGAAAAATACATAATTCCATAGCGAAGATAGATGATGACTATGTCAGAAAGCTTCATGCAGTTTGTGAATACGTCAATATCATGGAAAGTGCAATCAAAGGATTCGGAAAGAATTGGATGTTTAGCAGTTGTTGTCGATTTCCATTCTATGAAACTCCTTTTGGATGGGGAAAGCCCATCTGGTTTGCAACTACACTGAGTATCAACATGGTTGACTCTTTCCTGGATGCTAATGATGGTGACGGAACAGAAGCAAGGATCTCACTGACCCGGGACGAAATGGTCAAACTTGAACAAGACTCCGGCCTCCTTGCTTATGCTAATTTCGAACCAAGCATATTTGAGAGAGAATAAAGTTTTTCAAATTTCTTGTTTTTAGATTAAATAAGTTTGTAACACCTTGTTATGATCCATTAGATGGAGATTGTATCATTAAAGTCACCTAAAAGATTATACGAAAGACTTACATAAAATTTCTTACTAAAATAAAATTTTGAAATGAATAGATTAAAATGTATGGTTACATAAATCAAATGTATAAAATTTGAAAAAATTGTAAAAAAAATTTATATATCTTTTAGATCATCATTTTAGTAAAAAATTTTTACAAATTTTTATTGTTAAATAAATATTTATTAAATTTGAATTATAAACGATATTTTTAATAAATTTTTTTATATATTATTGATTTTGTTATTGAACTTTATCAATTTGTTAATTTAAATTTTTTATTAAAATTTTAATTGAATAGTTTATATAAAAAAAAATTTAGGAACTTTACCTAAAAAGTTTTCTTAAGTTTTTCCACATATTCTATCACAATTATTTCTATTGTGAATAAGTATTTTGAAATAAACAATTGCTGCATGCATCCCATAACATCCCGTTTACATATCTTTTCAAGCCTATTCAAACAAACTTATTTACTTTAATGAATTCATAAAAAATTATTTTCTTATAATCTCTCAATGAATTTAAATTCAGATAACAAAAAGAATAGGACACTTTCTTTGTCATTTGAACTAATCATCTATCACTCTCATACTCTCAATGCACAAACTAACTTTTTATTTGAAACTTATATGTTATATGAGTGTATGAAATGAGCGTATTATGTTAGCATATGTAGCTTTTTCTTTTAAGATAATATTTAGTATCATTTTTAAAATTATCGTAGTGATCTAATTATCATGATGATAAGATCACTAAAGTGATTTGATCACCATTGATCTTAAATTATCATATTTGATATAATATTATAAATTATTTATGTTTTAAATTATTGAATTTGGTATTATATGAAAAAATAAATAATATAATACAAAATATCCAAAATAACCTTACAAAAAAATAAAATATTTATTACTTATTAAATCAACAATTTATAAAATAGTTTAACATTACTAATAAAAAACTACAAAGTATATATCAATTTTGATAAAAATAATTTAAAAAAAATATTAAATAAATTCATTATCTTTTTTCTAATCAATATAAATTTATAATATAAAATCTTTTATAATAAGTGATTAAAAAATCAATGTTTTAAAATTTTAATGGCCAACTTTTTAGGGCAATGCTAAGGGTAAATTAATAGAAAATAATATTGAAAAGTACTTTTCTACGATAATAAAACTTTATCATTTTTATGTTAAGAATCATATCACTTTTTCTAGCAATAATTTTATCACTTATGTGATTTGAAATCACTGTAACATAAAATTTTTAAATTAATACCAAATGATGTAATTACTGAATGCTAATTATCGTGATTTTTAAACGAATCATCATATACCAAACACACTCAGAAGAGTTAACTTCATAGGTTAGAATTTTCTGGGGAACATGTTATAACACAGTATCAACACAAACTATAGGACAATATGTCCATCCTCTAATATTGCGAGGTTAAATTTGTTCCTGTATAGTTTTGTCCTGTATATAACGTGAGATGTTAAGAATTCAAAACAAAGTACTAATAATGATCAATTATTTATCCAACTAAAAGTATATTTGCATGATTGTAGGCTACATGCATCATTCACCATATCGAAGTTTATAAGCTTCAATCTTCACGATTCAAGTTGAGAATTTAAAACGAAAAAACCATGCAATTTGACTGGAGATTTGAAAGAAATTCTTTATATATTACGTGCACTCCAAATTGGCTATGTCTTCTTCTAATGTCCCCACAGCTTCAATCCCATCACCGATTCAGGAATTCGCCAACCCTTGCTCAATCAGAAAATTGACATTCTTGAACAGCAATTTGGAGCTTCGTCCCAGATAGGCTTTACCCGGCATTCAAAGGAGATCGAAAGTATAAAATCATGTTTGGTGCATAAAATGATAGATAAGATAGTATGATAATTATTTTATATTATATTTGGTTTATATTTAATTGAAAGGGATATGATTATAAGAAGAATTATCATCTTCTTAGTATAAAATAATTCAATCCTCCCAAAGTGGAGATGATTATTTTTAATTCATGAAATTAAACTTACAATCATATTTGGTACACAATATTATGATAGAATATGATTAAATGATATTATAAATAAGATTAGATTAAATAATATCATCATATCTTATATTTAATGTATGTAAAGATTAAGATAAAATAATTTATTTATTAGTCAAAAGTATATTTTCTCAAAATTTATAAAATTTAAATTATTGATATAATTTTAAAAGATATAGTAGGACATATAAGTATAATGACATGGATTAAAAATAACTCTTTTCACTTTGGGAGGATGATAATCCTTCTTATAATACTATCCATTTTAATTAAATACAAATCAAATATAACATAAAATAATTATCATACTATCATATCTATCGTTTTATATGACAAACATGACATACATGTCTTATTATACCTTTAAAAATTATATCAATAATTTAAATTATATTAACTTTGAGAAAAAATAATTTTGATCAATAAATAAATTATCTCATCTTAATCTTTATACATATCAAATATAAGATAAGATAATATTATTTAATCTAATCATATTTATAATATCATTTTATCTTATCTTGTCATAATTTTGTAAAGTAAAATATTTATAAATACCCCTAAAGGTTTAAAAAATAAAAAAAAATTAAAGAATTTTTTAAAAAATTTTTAATAAATTTATCAATAATTATATATATATATATATATTATAGATAAATATTCTCAAATAGATTCACCTTGTATTCTTCTCCGAATTTCGCATTGGATGCCTGATCTGACTCACGATGTCACTCGTCTCTGTCTCGGCATTAATTAGAGCTAGTGAAGATTCCTATCTTTTCGTTAATTCATCTTCTCATGCAGTTAACACGTAAATTCACAGTTGGATTTTTTTTAGATTATCATTTGTAGAGTTGGTGAGGTGTCATAGTCCTATACTCAAAATCAAATTTATATAGGTTGCCTTCTACTTTTATTGTTTGAACTGAAATTTCTTGATTTGATCCCATTGATTTTTTTACACATAGGATAATTTCTATATAAATTGCCCTTATATTGAGCCAAGCCATAATCTAAAAAGTCCGGATTGAGAAGATCATCGGTTGCTCCAACGAAAATGGAGATGAAAGTTCAATTTATCTCTAGAGAAATCATCAAGCCTTCATCTCCAACTCCATACCACCTAAGAACACATAAGCTTTCCCTTTTTGATCAGCTGGCGCCTCCCGTTTACATCCCAGTTGTTCTTTTTTACTCAGCTACAGCTGAAACCAGTCCTACCAAAACGTCTGGTCTCCTGAAAAGTTCCCTCTCGAAAACATTAACCCACTTCTACCCATTTGCAGGACGAGTCAAGGATTGTTACACTATAGACTGTAATGATGACGGTGCCACCTATATTGAAGCTCAGGTAGACGCTGACATGGCTGTTGTCCTTAAAGAACCGGGGGTCGATATGCTGCTGCAGCTACTCCCTTGCGATCCGCTTGAAAAGCTACCTGAGCCAAGTGCTCAGGTAATGGTAGCTGTTCAGGTCAATTACTTTGCTTGTGGTGGAATGACAATCTGTGTTTGTATCAGGCATGTGGTTGCTGATGCATCAGCCGCTGCTAGCTTTGTTAAAAGCTGGGCTGCAGTTGCTAGAGGCATCAATACAGAACTCGATGCTGTAATTTATGACTGCACCAATCTCTTTTCCCCACAAGATTTATCAGGCTTATTGAAGACAGTTGGAGAGAAACAGAATGTCCTGCTAGATGAAGTTGTGACAAAGAGGTTCCTTTTTTATGGCTCTAAGATAGATGCTTTAAGAAATGAAATTGGCAATGGGCTGTGTCTGTATCGTCCAACGCGTGTTGAAGCTGTGTCCTCGCTCATTTGGAACGCTTTAATAGGTGGTGACACTGAAAATAATGAAATAGTTCTCATGCATATGGCGACAATTTCTGTGAATTTGCGAAAGAGAATGGATCCTCCATTCCCGGAACTGTGTATAGGAAACATCTTTCATGTAGCAAAAATGGCGAATTCAGTCATGGAAAAGACCACAAGCTGCAAGAGTTTAGCAGAAAAAATCCACGAGTCAATATGTAAGACCAATGATAAGCACGTTAGGCAGTTTTATGGAAGCGGTGCACACTTGAATGTCATGAAAAACCTGGCTGAACAAATTGGAAAGAATTCAAAAACAAGGGTTTTTAACTTCAGTAGTTGGTGCAGATTTCCATTTTATGAGACTGATTTTGGATGGGGAAAGCCTGTTTGGTTTGGAACAGCCCTGAAGCTTAACAAACTTGCCATTTTCTTGGATACCAGCGATGGAAAAGGCATTGAAGCATGGATTGGATTAACAAAGGAAGAAATGACAAAACTTGAACAAGATCCTGGAATTCTTGCTTATGCTTCTTTCAATCCAAGCACATGAGAGGGTTCAGTTCAGATACTAATATTAACCTGGCAAAATAAGATCACTGCAATAAGGTTCTCTTTCTTAAATATTAGAAAGAGGCATGGAAATTGCTTTCATATTTCTTGTAAACATACTCTTCTGCCTATTTTCTCGCCATTCCTGCCTTCCAATGGAAGTTTGCTGTTAAGTGTCAGAGAAGTCTATAGCAAGTCATCTAGTCTTTGTTCTTCATTTTGTTACCAAATGCAAGTAATCTAATCCGAAATAAAGAAATGATGCTATTCTTCAGTAAGTCAAATATCATCTAGCTAGTGAAAGTGCACCAAAAACCGTATTGGTAACAGAATATAAACTATATATGTCCAACTTTCTTATCTTTACTTACACGATTTTTCCAGATTTGGGACTACATTTTTTTATTGAGACGGCTAGAGATTGAATCTGATCGATGAAATCAAGAAGTGTACACTCTATCAACATATCACTCGCTATTATTGGCCGACTTGGGAGTAAGTTAATAGAGCACTAATTAGATTATAGTATAGCAATTGATTCTGATTAAGACTTTGCAAGAATATTCTACATAAATATTATCATAACCAGGTATGTATAAACTCATTTCAGCTGTAAATATGTATACTGCCACCTTCAAACCATATGTCATTGGCAATTTTCCTAGAGGTTTCTCATTACATTCTTTCTTTACAAAGTTTAATTGAAAAGAAAAACAAATTAACAAGGATTGGGATTACCGAAAAACAAAAAATGTCATGAATATATTAGAGGATATATAACAACAACAATGCTTAGTAATATCACAATATAAAATCACATGCAATTCAATATTTAACAGATATAGATAACATCATTTTAAAAGATATCGATAATAAACATGAGTCATGAATATGTTGTCATATATCATACCAATCACCACGGAAGCTGGAAGCTGCTAAACACCGATAATAAATTAGAAAGGAAAATGGTTTAACTATCAAAGCTACGAAAAGGGTTCCATTGGTTGCTTAGTGGCGTTACTAGAATGCTCCCTCGTCAGCCAAATGGTTTAATTTAGAAGTCAACAGTCCCTCTAGTCGTGAGAAAGATAACCACCGAATGCCATAGACTCTGGTTTACTTTGGGCAAGCGCAGCCAAGCAACATTATACGATTGGAGTTGATATAAATAGGATATTGCGACGACTAATTACAGTAGTTCAGCCGAAGAATAATCGGAAATTTATATCGACATGCTTTGGTTTTTGTCAACAATGATAAATGTTGGTGCAAGATTGTAGGGAAAATTTAAGCATTTACCAAGAAAAAAGAAAAAGATGGTAGAGGTTGTTACGTTAAAAAACCGAGCATTCACGTCAACGAAAATATAACTTAACACTCTATCAATCACAAAAAACAATTTAATTGACTTACATTTGATAAAAAAATATTCACTAATTATATAAAATTATAAATATACAAACTCGATCAATCACTTACTAATTAATATTCATAATTTCTCTCAATTTTTTTAATTTTATTAAATATTTTTAACCCAAGTAAATATATATTCATACATTATATTTAATTCACTCAAACATATATACTCATAAAAACATTAATCTTATAAGATATTTATCTAATAAAACTTTATATATCTATTATATCTTACTCTCATATTTAATTTTATAAAAATTTTAACTATTTATAAATATTTAAACTTATTTATTAAAAAAAAATTTTATCTCATAAATTTTTTTTTAATTATTTTATTAAATAATACTTAATCAATCTTAAATAAATTTATTGTGAAATTTAAATTAGTATTCCCGACGAAGATAACTTCTTTTTGTAAGCATCTGACTTTTCTTGCAGCTGACAATTGCTTGGGAAAGGAAACAACCTTTTTCTTCCTCCGCATTTTGAGAAATAATATATTTAAATTGAAATAGGAAAGAGGAAAACTGACCGTCTATACGAGTCTGTTAAATTCGTCGGTAAGTTAAAATATTTTTTAAAAAATTAAATAAAAATAAATTTCTATTAATGAAATTATAATTCGGGCTAGATAGGACCCACATTTGAAAATCTTAATCGAAGGTTCGGTGAGGAATACTCTCAACCTTTTTACGAAAACATAATTAAACAAAGCCCAATGTTATTTATGATTTTTAAATTATAATAAAATATTTAATTTGATTTTTAAATTTTAAAAAATTTTAATATTATATTTGAATTATAAATTTATAAATTTATTAATTAATATGATACTTAAAAAATTATTTATCTATTATATATTATCATTTAAAATTAATTAAATGAGTATCATATTACTTAACATATTCACAATAAATTTTTAATATTTAAATAACATATTAAATATTTTATAATAATTTAAGATATAATCATAATATTAACTCTTAAGTAAATGATACTAATACATATTTTGCGTGAATAATAGTTAAAATTGATAAAACTAGCTTGAATTTGGAAAATCTGCTGGTTCCATCAAAATTCAAATCTAACTCAACTGATTTGATAAAAAAATCAATAATCAAAATTTATCCAACTCATTCTTGAAATAACTTAAACTTGAGCAATTCAAAATTCTATTGATTGGTTTTAAAACTTAACAAGTTGAATCTAAAATATTCAAATACTATATTCAAAATCAAAATAATTCAAGTGCCAAATCAATGACTCTAAATAAAAAACAACTCTTAAATCTTTTTAGATTCAAAATAATTTGACTCAAGCCCGATCCACCATGTGCAATTGCCACACCTATAAATTAATAACTGCATAAGAATTAAAGTATTTCGGCATTCTAAAGCTGAAATATTACAAAATTTATGAAAATTTTCAATATTGAATGTAGACATCGTATTTGATCCAGGTCAAAATCAATTAGACCTGACCCAATAAAAGTTAATCAGTCAAGCCTAATTACCCATTATTTTGTGTTTTATTTATTTATTTATTTATTTATTTATTTATTTTCTTTGGGTTCTATCCTTTTATTATTACTATTTTTTATTTTATTTATTGTCTGTTTATCTCTAATCTTTCGTTTGATTTATCTTGAGCTTTTGATATTATTGACAATAAAAAAAAAAGGAATTGAAAAATAAAAAATAATGAGGATTTTTGCTGTGAATAGTGTTGCAAACAGATCCAATTTATTTAGGATAAATTCTACATTTTGTGATAACATTGAAACTCTATCAAAGATGGATTCATAGTCGATCAAGAACTCTTCTGCCTATACCCTATAAATACACATTGATCAAGCAGAATACACACAGCAACAAAATACAGATAAAAAACACATAAAAATCAGAGAGAGGCGGATTACACAGAAAAGTATAAAGCAGTCAAAATTTTTTTGAAGATTTTTTTGGGTTTTAAAAAAAAAGGAAAAAAAGATTTTTTGGGAAAAATCTAGAAAATTCCCAGATTCTAATGAAAATTTCCAGTTTTTGATGAATTTTTTGGCACTGGTTGAATTTTTCGGTAGGTTTTCCAGAATTCGATTGAAGATTTCGATGTCAATTTCTCTTTTCGGTGAACTTTCGGTGAACCAACCCAGATTTTAGTGGGATTTTCAAAATTTGGTGAAAAATTTAATCGGAGTTCATCAATTTTAGAGAGAGAATGAGAGAAGAAAAAGGAAGAGAGAGAATGGGGGAAGGGAAATATGAGAAAAAAAAAGAATGGATTTTGGCTTTTATAGCCAATTAAAATGGTGTCGTTTTGAGGGTTAAATAGCTTCCAAGATTCGCACGTTTCCATTCGAGCCAACCCGATCCGAACGCAACCCATTTTGTCGACCCGCATCCTAATCAAACCCTTCAGCCAAGCCAATTTTCCTTGAGCCGTGTTGCTTGGTCGCATTATGTGCCTAAAGTCGAGCCGTTTCACAGCTGCCTAGCTGAGTCGTGCCTTATTTTGGTATTTTTATTATTTTTTTATTATTTTATTTTGTTATTTATATTTATTTATTCCATTTGTTTATTTTTCTTTTTCTTGTATTTTTGCATAATTATATTTTAGGAATAAAAAATATAAAAAAAATGAAATATTTTTTTGAGAATAAATATGGATTATCCAATGATGAAATTTATAAAAATATTCAAATGATATATTTCTATAAAATTCTCAGGTGAAAAATTTTATCTAAATTTATCTCAAATTGTGAAATAATTTAGATAAAATTTCAATATCAATAATTAATATTTATTTTCAATTTAAAAAATATAAAAAATAAAATATTAATAAAATTTTAGAATTAAATACAAATTACCTAAAGATGATATTCTTAAAAATTTCAAATGATAAATTTTTAAGAAATCTCTAGATGAAAAATTTCTCTAAATTTATTTCAAATTGTGAAATAATTTAGATAAAATTTTAATAAAAGTAATTGTATTCTTTTTCAAATAAAAACTTTTTGGTTGAAAATATTTAACAATTATCCAAAGATGAGAATCTTCAAAATTTCAAATGGTAAATTCTTAAGAAATCATTAAGTGAGAAATTTATTTAAATTTATCTAAAATGGTGGAAGAATTTAAATGAAATTTCAATAAAAATAATTGTAATATTATTTTCTTTCTAAAAAAAAAGAAAAGAATTTCTAAATAGGCCCAAATAATGGATAATTTAGAAATTCAAAAGAGAATATATTTTTAATTTGGCTTAAATTGTGGAATAATTAGATATATTTTTAACAAAAATCAAAAAATAAAATAAAAATAATTAAACCCTTTTTTTCGATGATAGAGCCTCTTCAAGAAAACAAATAAAATTTTTGAATACTCTTGAGGTGAAAAAATATTTTTAAGAGTTCTACTAGATTGATGGAGAATCTTAAGAATTATTTCTAATATTTAAACATAAAAATTTAAGACCATTAGAATCAAGATCTTAAATAAATTTAAAATTTAATGGTACCATCCTTTGGATGAACATGTGGGGTGCTATACATTTTTCATATGTAACCGAACTTTCGAACTCTATTTTGGTTAGTAGACTTTATCTTATTCTTTTAGGGACCTTTAGTCAAGCTTATGAGCTTCTTAAAATGATAAATTTTTTAAGTGATCAATCACACTTAGATAACAAAAAATTTGGTGGTGACTCCATTTGTTAATCTAGCTTTAGATTTTCAGATCTATATGTTATGATACTAAAATCACTTGTAAATATTATCAACTAAAATATTACAAAATGTAAAGGTAAGGTGGGTGAGGAAAAGTTCCTAAGTTCAAACTTAGTAATTCCTCTTGTACAAATAAATAAATAAATAAATAAACCACTAGTGGAATTTCTTCCTTGAGTAAAAAAGGGAAAATGTTGTTATATACAACCAAGGGTAAATCTATAAATTTAGATAATATGATAGTTCTAATTATAG